GAGACCTGGGCACCATAAACCTGCCTGCATGTTCATGCCCGTAGGCTAGTCCAGGGCCCACTGCCAGTGGCTCTTTTCTTGGGATCAGTATCTGGTAGGAACTCGCAGCACTCAGACCCTTTGTGTCAAGGGAACTTCTACCCTCTTCCTTTCCAAACTGGTGGGAACCATGTACCTACTTGTACCCACTGACCCTAGCTATAGGATCCTTTGAACCTTGGACCCAGGTGTGACCATGAGCCATGATCACCATGCTACCTACTTCTCTAAGGCCCTCCTAGACCTTGCCTTCTTAGGGACTGTGAAGAGCTCTGAGTGCATCTACATAACTGATTCCTTGTGCAGTCAGAAGACTTAGATTCCATTTCTACTTCTGCCCTTGGCTTGTTTTATGTTCAAGCAAGTCCTTTTTCTTCTCTGGGTCTCAGTTTCATCTTCTATGTAAGGAATGACCACTCAAACTCACCTTCTTCACAAGTTACTCTTGGTGCTCTCTAAGCTGGGATAGGGTTCTGTCACAGAAATGTGTAGCTGTCTTCCCATGAGGCACCTGACAGTTCAAGTTGCAGCATTTGGCTCTGTCCTTTGTGTAGATGGGCCTGGGCCCTGCTACATCTGTACTTGTGTCTTGAAGTCATAGGGCTAGGACCAGCTGCAGGCTAGAGGACTCAACAACCGGAATGTTTGTGAGTGCAAACTGCATGTGTACCTGCAGGTGACTGGAGCCCTGAGTGAGAATGATAGTCCCCTTCTCCTCTGCCTCAGTCAGTTATGGGATACAGACAGCAGTCAGGATTGCTGCTGAGCCATACTTGAGGCTAAGTGTCCAACCTAACAATCTGTCTGCCTCATCTGTCCTCAGTGTGGCCCCTCTGGTATAATTCAGCTTCCAACAGGAGCAGGCAGGATTCTACTGAGCTAGACCCTTACTACCTGAGTAGGAATGTCTATACCTGATGTCTACTTTTGAAATCTTGCTAAAGAGGCTCTCTCTCCCTCCCCCAAGGCTAGCCACAGCCTATAGCATTCCCAGCCTGTGTCAACTAAGAGAATCAGGGTGCTGGGCTTGGCTAACGGAGAATATGATCGGTGCCTAGGACCTCTGCCTTTTGCTGGCTAGTCCCCCTGACTGTTCCTTTGTAGACTCTGCTGCTTCCAGTAGCCCCCTTCACTCACAGTCCTTAATGTGATTTTTCAAAAGTAGCTGAGCTCAGCAAACATTTTCACACATAATAAGGATTAGGAACATGAAAAAGAAATTGAAGAAAATAAAATAATCCAAACATTGCAGTTCTGCTTCTTAGGCAATCACATTCTAGCTCCCAGGCTACCTTTCGTCCTTCAAAACCTTCCCTGGTTTTCTTGTATTCTTCGTCCTTGGTTCCCACATGACACATCCTGCCTAGATACCCATTCAACGTCTTGACCTCAGCAGAATTTCCCTTCCAGGAAATTGACTGGTTGTGGTTAATGTCACTCTGCCACCTGGATGCTTGAGAAGAACCTTCCCTTCAGGTAAGCTATCTCAGGACTTAGAAAAGTAAATCCTTACTGTACTGGTTGACACATGGGGATCAACTTCCTATTGGTGTCTGTCAGATAACTGAAAAGGAATGGAGGGAAGACTGAGCTGCCCTGAAACTTTCTGGGGTGGAATCAGTCATCTCAACTGTATTCTCATTGCCAAGCTTCCTAAAAGAGGAGTTTGTACTTGTAGTCTTCACTGTTTTATCTCTTACTCCCTCTTAAACATGTTGTAGGCTACCTTCTGCTCCCACCAGCCCACTGACACCAAATTCTTGGGTTTTTCTCAGCTCTCATCTTGCTTGACCACTTGATGGCATTTGACACTAATGATCTGCATTTTTAGCTCAAAAATCAGTATATACAGGGTGTAGCAAGAGTAGGTTTACAGTTGTGAGTACACAAAACACAGAGTTTATTCTTGTATTATTATTATTTATTAATTATTGTATTATTTTCCATATGAATAACTGTAAACCTGATTTTGCCCACCCTGTATAGGAACCCAGAAAGGGGAAGCTTCCTTTCACTGTAGTTTAGGTTGACCACAGGTGATGTAAAATGGGGTCAAAAGAGCATGTGTGGCCCTGGCTAGTGTGACTCAGTTGGTTGAGCATCATCCCATGTGCCAAGCGGTCGCTGGTTTGATTCCCAATCAGGGCACATGCCCCCATTACGGGTTCAATCCCTTGTGGGGAGTTGTGCAGGAGTCAGCCGATTGATGTTTCTCTCTCTCCTTCTCTCTTCCTCTCTTTCTAAAATCAATAAAAACATATAGTTTTTAAAAAGACCATGTGTGGCCAGCTAGGCATGGCTCAGCGGTTGAGCGTTGACCTAGGATCCAGGAGATCGAGGTTCGATTCCTGGTCAGGGCACATGCCCGGGTTGCGGGCTGCAGCCGATCAATGACTCTCTCATCATTGATGTTTCTATTTCTCTCTCTCTCCCTCTCAATTCCTCTCTCTGAAATCAATAAAGATATATTAAAAGTAAATAAATAAATAATAATTAAAAAAAAAAAAAAAAAAAAGACCATGTGTGATTTTGGATAGCTAAAATAGGAATGGGGGTGGGTTGGGTGAGTCCTGATTCATGATACATTATCTCCTGTGGAATTCTTTTTTTTTTTTTTTTTTTTTTTTTTTTT